AGTATGAGTACTGATCAAGTAAGGCTCTTAATTCGAGCTTGATTTCACATGATAGACAAAGTTCGGTTAGCTATCCGCATTTGCCATCTTTCGTTGAGCTTATTGATTCCCTGTTCGTGGAAGCACCTGGCTGTATTGGCAAAAAACTGAACACGCTTCTGATTTACATCGCATCCCAGCTCCAATAACTGGTCTCCAAAGATGTGTGCAATCTCGCGTTATCCTCTTGGAACACAACTCCTTTACGATTGAATATGTTACCGGATTATAGATTCATAAAAACTGTTCAATTGCTAATACTACTCATCCGAATTGATTGTTTGGTTCTTCGGTAGGAGCTCAAAAACTTTCATATAAGTATACTGGCATCTTCTTTCTACAAATCTTTCGTAAGGTGATGAACTGTTAGGCAAAAACTCCTTTTTAAATGTGTTTCTCCAATCCTTTGAGCAACTTTTTATCGCTACAGTTTCTTAAAATATATCTGCGTACGCCTTCTTGCCCCTAGTGCCTTTCTTTATTGTTGGCCCTGAACCTCTTGCATTGGAGTTCTAACCGAGCTCAGCAAGTGTCACCTTCTGGGTTAAGTTCTACTTGGAAATGGAATCCAAATTTCGATACACCTGCACTGAGAAAAAAAATAACAAATTCAAACTTGAAAGGAATCAATGTGATTTTTGTTTAATATTACAATGCCAGTGTTGATATTTTCAACAATGATTGGTAATACATATTAACCACACTTGTGTTTACATTAAAAAAATTTTTGATTGCAGACTTTTTTCGTTTGAATACGCTTATTTTATGCACTTCACATATGCTTTTTCATAATTCGAAGATACAAAACAACCATTATGATTTTTATTAATACGTTGCCTTTGACGTAATTTGAACCCGGATCATCTGAAAGTTAGCGGCTAACAGCAAGCATATGTGCACACTCAGCTACAGCCGTTCTGTAAATTTACTCTCAAATGATGAGCTTGAACAAATTTTATTCGTCGTTTGATCGTGTTCGGCACTTCACAGATGCTTTTTCGTAAATAAATACCAAAAGCAAAAAACAAAAAAAAAAAAACAAAAGAGCTACATATTGCCTCTGACGGCGTTCGAAACTGCTGGAAGCCAAGAAATAGCAGCAAGCATCTCTGCACGTTTTGCTACAGTCAGACATGCGAATATGTTTTCAATGTTCAACTTCAATCAGATATCTTACAATCGATGAATTTACTATGAAAAAATCAAACAATAACTAGGCTAAAAAAAAACCTTGTTCTTTTTTCTAAATAGTGTAAATAAAAAGTGCAATATATGGATGAAAATTTGCATAAGGTTTGGAACTCTGATTTTTGGGGTTTTTGTTGTAGAATTAACAATATTTTTATAAAAAATTAGCGAAAAATAAAATATTTAAAAAATGGTTACCGGTATTGCATAAAATTCGCTGTACCTAAACTTTATTGACTGACTGTACACCGAATCAATTTTATACGATTTTCGACATAAAAATAGTAAGTAAAATGGATACTAAAATATTAATTTTTATGATTACAGTATATTTTACTTAGCTGCCCATCCTTCTTTGCACGAAAAACTTGTGCACTTAACCGAAAAAAGCACTTAAGCGAATTTTCTTTAATACTTCAATGAGGAAGGTATCCGAATCCCTATGAAACCAAATAATGGAGGAGCACTTACCACGTAGAAATTACTGCAAGCGCAATTTTTAAGGAATGGTATCTAATTATCTATATAACTACATTAATTGATAGCCATTTTCGTTGTTCTGCGAGATGAGCAAAATAAATAAAAGCTTGTAAAATTAGGTAATTGTAGGGCCAGTGCAGGTAAACCTAATACTTTCTTTGATAGTTAATAATAGTTGCACAATTTTTAAGGCAGGTATCGCCAATGTGCAGGTACACAGAGAAATTATCGTTTTCAAATTTGTATGGAACGTTTTACTTTTAAAAACGTTTTGACCCAGGTTTTGCACCTACAATATTTATTTTAATTTTGAGAATGAAAATTTTCAATTCAATTTCCAAAATCCATGTATTGGTTTTTGATACGAACATTTTCAAATCGTTTTTAAAAACGATTGTTTGAAAATTTAATATGCGCATGTTGAAATTAAATCCTAAAATGTTTTATCTTCATTTTAAAAATATGCGTTTTCAAATATGATATTCAAATTTTATTTTAATTAAATTACAACAAGTCGTTTGGTACACACATTGTCAAAAATATATTGATATACATATACTTATAAATAAGTTACAACATTTAATAAATGAAATACAGATGTTTTATATATTACTATATACATACATAAATACATACATACAGATGTTCTTGGCTTACTTCCAAGCTGGGCCTGCTAATTTTACTTCACGCTGGCCAAATTCTGTAATTTAAATTAAGAAAGTTACTCTTACCAAAGCTTTTTTTCGGTCAAAGAAGTCCACCAATGTCCCTTGTATGTAGTTAGGGGTTAGAATGGCAGTATTGTTTGTATAACTTCATCGCCTTTTCTGAAGATTGAAGTAACTTAATTATCTGAACACAATTTTTCCGACAAATGATGCAAACATATGAAAGGTTTTCATTATAGCTAGGTAGCTTTTTAAATTCTAATGTGAAACATTTTAGTTTTAAATATTTTTCATACCTAATTGACTGAAAATAAATTAACGTTTTTATTTTAAAAATGTCTAGTTTTTTTTGCTTGTTGAAAATTGTGTCGCACTACAACTTGTTGGGAAAATATTCTAAAATGTTTCATTTAAGTTTTTAAAATACGCATTTTTGACGCTAGTTCTTTAATGTCGTTTGTTCCCCTCAGTAAAAAAGTGAATATATTATAACGATCGTTTTTGGTTTGCGAATGTTTCGTTTTAAAGTCGTATGTACAAATACTGTATTTTTTATTTTGTATGAAGTAAAATTATATCAAAAAATTTTATTTTACAATTTCTTTTAAAAACTTGCATTTTACCTGTCTCATTTTCTCTGTGTATGTTGAATGCATCTATCGGAGGAGTTTCCTTATAAATGTTAAGAATAATGCCGCTAATGCGCATTTTAGGGTAGGTATCTTAAATGTGCACTTAAGCATAAAGGCAGCAAAGCAAAATATACTGTATATGTGTACCCGTGTGTAAGTGAAATTCGAAAACTTGTTTTTCGTTCCAATTACAAATCGTGGATGAATGGCAAATAACAATTTACAAAATTTTATTAAATGCGTGCCTTGTGGCCAAGGGAGATTCTAAGCAAATTACGCTCTTGCTCGTTATCTGAAAAACGTTAATTTTTTTTTAATATTTGAAGAAAATTCTGCCAAAAAATTAACAGTATCTACTGTAATTTGAACTGTTATTTATATTATTTTGATTGGATTTTTTTACTTTAAAACTTTTAATTTGAAAATTTGAAATATTAATTTCTTTAGTTGTGAAATTTCGGCTTTCGTAAGATATTTTATATAGTCAGCGTGAAAAATATGCATACCCTGATGCTTTGACAATTTTGTTTATTTATATATATTTTCCATACCAAATTCTCAAACCTCAACGGTAATTTTTATCGACTTTAGTATAACAAAGTGCAAGTTTAAAGTTGCTAGAAAATCGCGTTGATTTTTGGCAATTTTTTTAGTGGAAGGTGTTGCTCATTTTCTCCATACAAAAAATAATTGTCGAATTACTTTGTATGGAAGAACTTGCGTGAAAAAAATTACCAAAAATCAATGCGATTTTCTTGCGACCTCAAACTTACACTTTGTTATACTAAATTTCAATGGGCTATAAAACTGCATACTTAGAATTTTTCTAAAAAATCGGAAAAAAAGTTGCAAATTAGTGTGCAAATTTAATGAATTTTCCTGAGTTTTGCACAAAGTTTAGAGATTTTATTATTATGTTTTCTGGTGTAGAATGAACAGTATTTTTATAAAAAGTTATCGAAAATAAATTAGAATAAAGAACCTTGCATATATTGCAAAAAATTCACTTGCCAATACTTCTGTTCGGCACTGTATGTTTAAAAAAAGCAATTGCAGCGAATTGAAACAATATGTTAACCTCCTTTCATTGAAGGTAACTTTTGTGATATCTTTACTGCTTGCTTAGCTCGCCGCCGCTCGGCTTTCTGTGCAAACGTACCCTATCGAATTGAAAAATGGAAAACGTCGATGCGAATTTCTTGGTATTTCTAGCTTTTTCCCAAGTTTAGTATGAAATTAAGAAAGTTGAGCTATATTTTTTATAAACAATAAAAAATTGGTATGGGAAATATAAATAAATAAAATTGTCAAAACGTCAGTGTATGCATATTTTTGACGCTGACTGTAAATTATAAGTTATATTAGTTTTGTATTAAATGTTTTAAATAGTTTGTTTTAATTTAAATAGATTGTTTAACCTAGATTATTTTTCAGTTCTTTCTTAATTTATTTTCTTAAAAAAAACTGCAGTTTTTAAATGAAGGATAAACACAGAATAAGTACAGAGTTTAATAGTTTATTTTTTTCTATTTTCAATTATTTTTTTTTTTTCAATACGCATAAATTTTGTAATAAACGTTATGGTTACTAAAAATTAAATTAAAACGATTTAATAAATTTTTTCAATATTTCTAAATTTTAATTATTGTTTTATAAACACTTTTTGCGATCATTTTAAAATTTTTAGAAAACAATTAAAATTAGGCTTAGCTTGAAATTGATATCGCTAAATTGTTTTTGTATTTTTATAACGTTTTTTTAATTTGTATTTTTTTTTTATAAACAAATTTTGTTTGGCATCTTCTGCAAGATTGACACTCAAATTAATCTTTTCTAAAAATGATTAGCCGTATTTTGTATTTTTATCTAAAATTTTTCATTTTGATAACTATTGGCAATATTGCCGCAGCGAAAATGTGAAAACCAATAAAACCTAATAAATCTATTTTTCAATTTTTCTCTCTTTCATTGCCGTCGTACTTGCGCAAAACAGCTGATCCAAACAAGCAAGCAGACAAAGGTGGCACCAGCAGCATCAGCAACAAACCAGACAACAGCCAACTAGTGTTATACCAACGAAGAAGGAGAATAATACGAAGGAGTTAGACAAGCAAAATAATTGCTGAAATTGCATATTGGAAGCAGACAACGAAGTGAAAAAGTGAAAAATTCTTTGTGTGGAATTTTTGCTCTTAAACTGCTGCTACAGTAAAGGCGAAAGCAACGCTTAGCAGACGCGGACTTGATATAAAGTCCAAGCAACCTAGCGAAAAAGCGAAAAAGCTAAAGCGTCAACCCGGCAGCGCGTGCAGCCAGCCGGAAGCCAAGCGCCACAGCCGAGCCACAGCTAAATACACATACGCTCAAGCGCTCCACGTAGCGTGCGTATTAAGTAGATTTTCAGTTGCGTTGTGCCCCATACAGCAGTAGCGCTGGAATACTTTATTTCACCCCCCGGTCCAATAAACGTCGCCAAAATTATTCACCAACAAACCATCACCGACATCAACTTCGCCACGGCGGCCACCATGCCATATAATGGCGCCAGCAATGGCAGTGGTGGTGGCGGTGGCGGAGGTGGTGGCGGTATAAGCGATGGGCCGCAGAATAAGAAGATACGCACCGGTGTACAGCAGCCGGGCGAAACGGATGCACATCTTCATGCAAGGGTAAGTGATGAAGTACCAACTACCTATAAGTCTATCTAATTGTGTACATATGGGTGTGTAGTGTAATGGAATAAGAAGTTGTAGAAGAAGAAGAAGAATAAGCGAAAGACGAAGTAAAAGTACAAGTTTGAAAAACTTGCAAACTTTTGCGGGCTGCAAAGTTTACAAGAAGTTTGGAAATTTTGTATTAAATTTTTTTTCCTGTGTTGTCTCGTGCGCGTGTTGTTGGTAATTATGGCTATCAAACAGTTGCAGCTACGCTTATGACAATCTTTAATGTTATTGTTGTTGTTGCAGTCGCTTTTGGCAAATGGCGTTTGTCAGCCACAACACAAAAAACAAGCTTCTTTTTCATTTACCTTTCCTGCATTCCACTCTTCAACCAAACACCGCCGGCATGGAAGTGTACTAGTAACGAAGTTTTGTTTTCCTGTGCTGTGACTGATAAAGCTATTGCCTGCTTTTAGGGGTTGTTAAAAATCGATTTTCAGTTGTTTGGTAATTCCAACTCGCCGCGGCGTAGCGCTTGACGGTTGATAGCGACTAGAAAAAAGTGAGTATCATACGCTTGTGTGTTCATATATAAGTGTATCTACAAATTGGTTAAGCGATAAGAAAATGCGTCTAAAAGTATGCTCTAGCAAGCTGCTAGATAAGCGTCGCCTGTTTTTTGTGCTTTGCTTTCGGGCATTTTCACTATTTTCGTTCGAAATCTACGCAATTTGGCAACACTAAATTGGTTCTGCACTAAAACGCCAACTAGTGGCCACACGCTATAAATACAATGCTATCTACATACATTCAGTTTGCACGCCAACAAGTATGCAATCGTTTTGTTAGCAACGCTCTCCCGGCAGCAAATAGAGATACACACGCTGAGTACATAACGAGCACAAGTTTGGTTATGCTGAGCAACGAGTCATATGGCGAAAAATCACATGGGAAGAAAATTTTTTTTGTATATTTAGTCAGGGAAATTTGCCTAGATCCCATCCGTCCAAAAAGTACCCACAAATGCTCCTAATATTCACCTCTTTAAAGTTATCCATACGTTTTCATATCCAAAATACTCTAAGTAAATGGCAGCTGTGCATAAAATTGTGAATATCTTCCACAAAAGTGCAGTTTCAAGCGACATCACTTACGATTTTATGTTGCATACTTATTGCCACAATCGTTATTTATGTAGCTAGAAAATTTTGGAGGCGAAAATTTATAGTGCAGTAATTTAAAGAACTCCAATACATTTACCCCTTTTTGAGGGCTTCTACCGATACTCAAAACGTTTTCCATGAGCCCATTTTGGGATCGATTTCAGACTCTTCACCAAAGCCTCCTTTGTCAACCAAATCATCTCAAAACGTCTTCCTTCGAATCGTCTTTGTGTTTCTGGAACAGGAAAAGTCAAGCGGTATCATATGAGGTTTATATGAAGCTTTTGGGATGGCATCAACATTTTTTGAAGCAAAATAGTAGCGGTCGCTGAAGATACCGCAAGTTTTTGCTCCAAAATTCTTTCTCCTACACTCCGCCGAGACTTCCTGAGGAGTATCGATGAAGTATGAGCCTAGATGTTTAAGCTATACTCTTGCAAGAGCTGGACAAATGCTTCCCGTAATGCTCGGAAAGCAATTTGCGGTTGGATGTCACAGACGTGAACACCCCTACCTATTGCAGACTCTGCGGTTAGACTGCCCTGCGCTACTCGAGCCCTATTATGGTCTGGATATTGTAGCCGTCCCAACAGATGCTTGTCCAGACTCGACCCCGATATCCTCTATTATAAGTGTCCGGCATGGGGAGACTCCCATACGACACCAACCATTCTCTCTTCACCTGTCAGCTCAATCTCACTTAGCTAATACCCCTCTCCCTTTGGTCCGACCCGGATGAAACAGCTCCTTTCTTGGGACTACCGTTAGTTGAGAAGTGCAACGATTGATGGATAAACCGAACCAGGCGGGGCTTAGTAGTACCACTTAAACAACAACAAGAGGAAATGATTCCACCCAGTCATCGTCCATGTCGCTACGACAGTAGTGGTCCGAATTGATTTTAAATCGTGCCATATGGAGTCCCATTGCCTTTTGTTCTGTTCGTTGTCGTTTAGCCGGCTTTAAGAAACTGCCTTGATCGCTAACGTTTGATTACCGGCAACTTCTTTTGTCCATCTTGTCTGGAGTAATGTATATGTTTCCAAACAAATCATGTATCCTCTTTGGCAGGGATGACATAGAGAGCGCGGTGTCTATGCCGTTAATCAATCATCCAGTTTGTGGAAACAGCTGCCACTTTCCTAGTCACTACTTAGAGAGGATCCAAACGGAGCCCACCTTGGTACAGACCTTTTCGTTTCTTTCGAGGTTTCCAAAGGTTTCCGGGTGCTCAAGTAGACCCCAAGGCTCTTTGGCGGACTGTGGCAATCTTACCCACAATGTCGAGCACCACGCTGATTACAACAGCGGCGGGTCTCTGCGGCACTATAGGGCAACATATCGTCACCTGGAATACAAAAAGACGTGTAAAAACATCCTAAATGAAAAGTCGTTACTAATATTTTATTTTTATTTTTTCATAAAACGATATGGGGAAACGGAATTCGATGAAATCCATCATATAAATCAAAAAGAAAACTTTCAATTTTTTATTAGTTATGACTTTTTGCATTTCAACGATGATATTTTTTCTAGCTACTTAACAATTGTATAGCTGACCTAACCTAATCTGAAAATATGCGGACTTTTTGATTCCGTGTTAAAAGAACTCTGCTTTGGCTGAAAATTCAAAGTCAAATCCCAGAACGAGAAGTCTAGACATGAGGGTTTCTTTATTTTCATTGTGATGGATGATAAACCGAGTGAGGTTTTGATGGATAGATTTTATAACTAGAGTTTGCAATACCTAAGTGACACTCAGACTTCACTCCAAACTTCCTTCACCACCAAACTTATCAATGAGTGTTTTGACACGGTAACACTGTTCTGGGGGCTATTTTGTTGCGCGATAGGCTGAGGTGCTGGCGATGGAAAGGCCATCAATCATCTTTGTGGGACTGGAGGTATTTTTTGGTATAAGTTATCTACTCTTATTTGAGGCTGCAATTCTGAGTGGGTAAACTCAAGAGCGGCGTAAGTACTGGAGAGCGGCAGAGGGCATTAGATAGGCGAGGCTTCTTTTGTACGCTTCCAGAAAGGAGTTGAGTAGTCATACTCGTATGCGTTCTCTGGATTGCTCTGTACACACAAACCCAATACCTACCGACTGGGGGACGTTGAGACATTGAAGCATGTTGTGTAGCAGATTGTTCATCCTTGGACAGAAAAAATCGTAATGTATTTCTACTCGTCCTCAGTAAAATGTCTTAGAATTAGGTGCAGGTCTACAAAGGCCTTTGGACGTGTCTATAATAGAACAAGTTATGAGATTTCAGACTTTCATCTGCAGCATACTAGAGGTTTTTTAAGTCGCAATGTCCTTCGTTCTGTCACACCCTAATCAATTGAACCTGCCGGGTGCTTTTAAAACCGAAGGTATCCACCACTACTCGCGCCGCTTTGCTATATTCAAAGTCCACTTTTAAGCACATTACCTCGTACACGCGCTCTCAACTTGTAGTGGTGGAAATGCCTCCGGTTTAACATAAAAGGCTGATGTGAAAATAATCTTTTCGACTTATCCGTCCGCTTTTGCCTCTTCATTTTCCTTTGCGCTGGCACTCAAGTAGGTGCTTCTCTCTACTCGTTAATGTCTTAGCAAATGCTCTTAATTCGTCGTTTTACCTCTTAGCTGTAAGAGGAAAACAGACTGTTGCATATTTTTAGTTGCCGCAAACTGAGGAAGGAATACTGGTAAATGTTGGCGCTTTGTTGCCCCTTCGACTAAATGTTATATCACTCAACACGCGCACGAGCAACAGCAGCACTCAATACTCAACGTACTCACTCGCTCACGTGCTGATGCAGTCACACACACGCACAGGTGCCGGAACTATGCTCCGAACTCATTGTCAGCTGCAGTGTCCTCTGTCGTCTGTTATGTTGAAGAGCAATCGTTTAACTAGGTTTTGTTTTTTCTTATTGCCTAGCATACCTTTAGGCGACGTTCTCATCTTGTGCTGCTGGTCGGCTCAACGTACTTGTTTGCGTGTCTACGGCTATGCAGGAAATATACGCTAGGGTGCGCGTATATTAGGATTATTGCGCGTCTAATACTATGCTTTCTGATACACATAAGGGCGGACTGACTCGATAGGGATATACCATACTCATAGCGTGTAGGCAGGAAGTAGGCTTAGCGCGTGCTTTTTGGCGTTTCCTTGATATACCGTACATTCGTTTCGCCTGCTTCTTCCGCGGCTAGCAATTCAGCGTATACTTTTTGGCGCTTATGGTCGCTTGTTATGCGTAGACACGCGTCAAAGGCGGTGGCCCGGCTTTGCTGCAAAGTCCTTTCAAGGCATTTTAAGTCACTTTGTGCGTCTTTAAAGCATGTGTGACAGCAGTGTATATATGTGTGTGTGTGTGTGTGCTGTGTGCAGTTAAGCGTCCTTAAAGGCAGTGGATTTTGTTTTGTAGCCGCATGACATTTCAGCACATCCTTTTACTTTTTGCTGTTTTTTTTTGTGTAAAATATCATTCACATTTGGTCTGGTGTGTTTGCTGGTGATAAGCGCCGACTGCTTTCCTGTCCTACTAAAAGATTGCATTTAGCGGATATTAGATTTAAGGAGTAGTCTTTCCTTTCGCTTTGTTTTTCATATGATTTCCTTTTAGTAATGCTTATGGGCCATTTTAATATTTTTGATGCTCTCAAGGCTATCATTTGTTCGCATTTTATTGCCCAGCTATTGCCATTTTTGTCTTTTTATGTGTCACGCAAGGGTATAATACGTTTTTATTTGAGCTTGAAATTTATTGACGAAATCAATGGTTGATCTTGGAGATGTTTAACGTTACGAGCGTGTGCATATATTACGACAAAGTTTGCGCCACATAATTGAT